CAGACACGCAGGACAACTTGAACACGAGGAAGATCAACGTGTGTACGTGGGTTGTATTGAAGTACTGTTGGCGAGCGACTATTAACTCTCCTGTTCCGACAAGTCGGCAAGATGCATGCAGGGTGGGGGTCCCGTTCACCGCCGAATTTCGCAACGTGCGAGCGGTTCGCCGTTAACTTTATTTGGAGGCGTAGCGCCATTGTAGCCACACGAACCCTGCGCCGTGATAGCCGGCGCCAAACTGTCGCACGGCCTTGTGGGAGCCTCGGTGTACCTAATAAAGAAACGTCACTGATGACGTACATATATGAACGTCATCGTACGTGTACGTCGTCGGAACTGGATAGAGTTAAGGCTAGCTCGACGCACCGGGTGGGGGGGGGGGGGTAGGGGGAAGTGTTGAGAACCACGCACAGGGCCACTTTTGTATCCCCCCCCCACCCCCCCCCACAACAATGGCGTTTACGCGCCGCACCAGATCCTCTGTTTAAAGCTGCGAGGACACACCTGCTGGAGGCCCCCGAAACAAGTTTAGGTAATCCATCACTGGGGTTTGGAGCTTCATGCGTGAACCACCTAATGATGATAAAGTCCCCCCCCCCCCCCCATATAGCCTCGACAGACAGTTGGGGCAAGTGCGGCTCAGCACACGCCGTTGTGTGGACACGTGCACGCACACGCATTATGCAAGCGTAAGCGTTAAAAGTTAAACTAATAATGCCTCGTGATGCACATGTAGCAACCAGTGCCCGCTTTCTTTTGAAGGTGAAAGAAATGGGTGGGGGGGGGAATCAATTTTGCAGACTAAATCGAGTAATCCTCACGGCGGATTTATCCTGTGGAAGCGCCTTTTTTTATTTAACGCTTTTGAGTGGTCGTCGTGCACCAACTCCTAACCTGAGCAACCGAATGTCCACGCACGTGTAGTTAGAGCCCACACCCACCATGAGGGGGGCTTGTATCCTAACTGCAAATAGTGATGGATGGGGGTTGCTCCACCCTACTTAATGGCTCGCACGGTGGACTTGCTATCCCCGAGGTCGCTGGTTCCATCTCTCGGTTTGGCAGTCGAAGCAATGGTGCAAGTAACTTAAATCCAACTTCCCCTCCCCCCCTCCTGCCACCACCTCTGTCCACCTTGAATTGTAAACCGGAACACAGATGGTCAGCGGGTTGCCTGAGGTGTAGTAATGTTGTGGATATACTCCCCACACTTGTAAGAGGCGGCAGGCCAAATGTATCTTCTCGGAGCTCGCGTGAGGGTGGAGAGGTCCATCTGCCAGCGCTGCCGTGAACCGGCAATTGCAGGGCAGAGCCTTCACCTTTGACCCATTTTACTCATGGATGGGGCCCCATGTGGCAGAGCCCCTGAAGAACAAAAAGGAGCTTCTCTTGCCGACTAAAACGTGTCTTTGTCTTGTTCTCAACACCATCCGATATGTGTGAAATTCCCACAATTGGAGTTCGTGTAGGGGTATTTTTTTCATCGGTTTGCTTTTGCCGACCAAAAGGTTCTGAGCAATATAATTGATTTATTGTGCGATTTCTAATCGATCGCGTTGGTTTAACTGTTTTAAAAATTTGTTCTGCGGTTTTGGGACCTAATTTTGTGCATATTTTCTACAAACGATGGTTCCTCCAATCGCCTTTCATGGGATTCCAGCGTGTTCCACGCATTAATACTATTCCAGTAATCAATTTTTTAAAAAAATTGCTGCTGAAATGTGTTTTATAAGATGGAATTTAGCATCTGTTAAGATCTGTCCAATCCCAGTATACAATTTTAGTCGAAATGTTTTATTACATCAAGATTCTTGACGGGGGTGGTTGGGAATGCATAAGTTTTTTTTAAATATACACGTGCTATGAATAAAAGGCAATTTGCCTGAAACATCGCCTGTTATACACTTTAAACGTCGCCGCGGTGTTATCCAAATGTGAGCTTTGTGTCCTTTGTGCTTGTGGCAACCGCTGCCAATGCGCAGTATGGCCCAAAAAAAAATAACTTCAAATATAATAATAATAACATCGGCGGAGGCCAGGACACTGCATTGTTGTCCACTAGTTGGTGGTCTTATGGTGCGTTGTTTTTTTTTTTTACAATCTAGCGATAACATCAACCCACATTCCTTCCTGTGGGGAGCCTGTCTGGATTTTAAAATATATATGTTGCCTGCAGTTTATGACAGAGGCCATCGAATTGCATTTTGAGTTTTGCAAGTAATGTGACCCACTCTGAACTCTGCGTGTTGGAGCGTGTATAAATATATTTTGTATATATAATGAAGCGGAGACGCTAGATAATATATTTACATAATGAAGCGGAGATGCTGGAACAGCCATGGAGAATATCTTATGGTTTAGACCAAACTTCTCCCGTCGGAAGTTTTGTGATTCCTTTTGGGCAAATGCAACGCGACTTTGTTTTTACAATGTGCAGGGTTTTTTGTTTGCAAATAACGTTGTGACTAATGCCAACGATGGATAACGCTGGTTGCTGGTTAAGAAGTTTAGCAATTGATTAGGAGTTGCTAATTAAACTTGCATTTGTTATCACATTTGAATATTCCTCATTTACTTGCCTCCAATTTGCACTCCTAATACAAGGGGGTAAACTTCACATTCTTAATGGCACTTATAATTCTCACTGAACTATGCACGAAATGTTTACTGCATCGGTGCTCAAAATAATACTTAATTTATACAACCTGCAAGGAATTGGTCATGGAAAGAGTCAGCCCTAGGCTCGATATGAACTCTCGGTTGACGATGGAAAGTTCAACTGCTCTAACAAATCCATGTTATCATTGAGTGCTGATCGGCGTATTTTAATGTACATTTTTATTGTAAACTTTCCCCAATATTAATCCCATTCTGCACAATCGTCGTCCAGTCCATGAGACATCCACTGGATCTCTCAGGACAGTGCAACTCTCTCCATGCTAGACGAGCCGCCCACGGAAGCGGGATATCGCAGAACTACTTGTGGACATCGGTTCAAGAGCGAGGAGAACCGATCCCATACGGTACCAGGCAACCACTCTCCCGCCGCTCCACATAATGTGGGGTTAACGCGCGTCGCATGACCGTCCGGCGTGATGGTGCTCTTCCCGTGCAGTCCTTTGGTGGCTGGGCTGACACCAATCAACGTGCACTCCACCTTGAAGAACCCCAGTTTAATCGCAGATAGCCGAGACCTGTATTCAAAATCAAGATCTTGGCGCTCTGACTTTTAAGCCACCCAGTCACCTCCTCTTGGATTTATTTTTTTAAACGGCCACTTGAAACAAGACTTGTGTTTTGCTGCTTCTTGGTGTGGTGTGATGGGCTTAAACGTTTTTGATTTTCTCTGAAACTCCCTCCCCTTTCCCTCTCCCTGCCCCTGTCCCATTGTAAAACTCAAGCTGCTTAATTTTTCCAGGTAAGGCCCACTGAGCTATGGAGCTCCTTTCAGAAGCAACCTGGCCACAAATGATAGGCCAACGAGAAGTGGCTTATGACGTGGAAATTTAAATCGGAAGAATACTCAACCCATGTTGGCTTCTAAATGCGTAAAGAAATCGAGGGACCGCTGGTGAAAAAATCCACACGACTAACGGGGGAGATACAACAGGCGTTGTCTGGGCTGGTGACCTCCTGCATACCAGGCGAGGTAGTTAACATCTCGCCACGGTGGTGTAATCTGACTTGCGCAAGGCGTGCGCTTATTAACCGCACCGGCCACTTTCTCGTCGGGGCCCCGTTGTTGTGTTCTTTTCAAGAGTGCACGGCGACCAAAAAGCAGATGGCCGTCTTGTCTAGACCACAGCCGAGAGCACAGATTGAACCCCCCTTCACCCCCGCCCACTCGCCCACCCCCAACTCTTCGTAAGCCGGCAGAACGAGACCTCATTGACGTCCCAGACCAGGGGCGCGTTGTGAATCAAAGCTGCTTTGTGTTCAACGCTCATTCAGTGCTTCGGCTCCCGCCTGACGGCACGTGTGCGCGCACGCACGCACGCTCCGTACCGTTCCTATAAACAACATTGCAGCAATAAACAACCCTGCCGTAAAGTCTTTCCCCCCCCCCATCCGTGCTGTTTACATTTTTTATATGTGGATTTTTACAACGGCGTTTTTTTATTTGCTCGTTTGCCTTCCATTTGACGGTTTTTTTTTGTATAAAAGTTGGTAAAGTTTTTTCAGGGATGTGTGTGTGCGTGTGGTGTGTGCAGGGCTCTGTATGAAAATGATCCATCTCTTATCCGTTAGGATCGATAAGGACAAACCATGCTGTACCTTAGAAGGGACTGGAACCTTTTAATAATGATGCTGAAGTCATGTCGACCACACGGAAGTCGTACATCTCTGCACCGCTCGTACAAGTGCATTGATAACTAAACAAATTGAGGCCTGTGTGGGTAGTGTGCCTTTTGCACAGAAACGCGAGGCGTGTGACCCAGTAAACGTACCAACTGAAGGAGGAGCACGACACGGCAAAAGCCCATCCATCAGAAGTGAAAATGAGCAACCGGGAACCACCGTGCAAAGTGAATCCCGCTGTGCCACGTGTGTGCCGTTGCAACGGGAACACATACCACGTGTTCCTGACCCAAAAATGTAAAACGTTAAAAGGGGCTTCCACTCGAGGGATCTCCCCCAGAAGGAAAAACTCCCTCCCTAGAAGAGCAAATTGGCCTAATCTTCCACACCGGCCAGACGTTTAGAAAGAGGTGAACTTGCCCACGACTTTGCCGATGTACTAACCGCGCTGCGTGGATTGAGGGGGGAGAGCAGGGGGGGGGGTTGTAATGAAGTAACTCTCCTGCCCATTTGCTTCACCCCGTGTCATGCCTTGGACAAACAAACATTACGTGGTGCCCTGCGAGATCGTGCGTTTTGACGACGCGTCCATGAATGCGTACAAATGCGTACGTTTTGTTTTTTAAATGAAGTCTGAACTCGTGTTTTGTTTATTTCTGCTCCCCCCCCCCCACCACCACCCCCTTTGTGTCGTGCAGCCGAGCCGTTGCCTCTGATGGACCTGGCACGGAGGTCCGTACGGGCGGCCATGGGGAAAGATCGTCTCCACGAAATAGAATCCCTTCCGCTGCCCCCGGCGCTCAAGTCCTACCTCCAGTACCACTGAGGGGAGGGAAGACGCGGCGGCGGCGGCTGCCATTGTGCTCGATGTTGAGGAGTTTGGCGGTAGTGGTGGTTGTGGTTGTTGTGAAGGACCGTGACCGCCTCTGCCCGGCGTCACGTCGCGCCCGTTCTGCAGGTCTCGGCCACGGCCGCGTTCGTTCGCAAACGCAAAGACATCCAACAACGCAACTGTGCCCTCGGTTCCCCCACACCCACACCCACACACCCCCCTTTGACTAAGAAAACAAAAAAAGGAGGAATGCACACGACGACGTTCCACGAACCGACCGTTTCTGCTCCTTAGCCGATGTCTTGTCGAGCAATGTTCTTTAATTTATCTCGCGACCCAGACAAAATCCCGAAGTTGTGCCAAGATCACCATGACAACCTTGCTCGACAGACACCCACACCGCACAATGTGTACAGTACCTTTTTTTGTATCTTCGCAGAAAATTCTGGACATGCGGCGTTCCTTTTATTTTTTGGGGGGGCCTTTGCTCTACTGTGTGGCCGGAGGTCTGGAAGCAGGAATTTTGGGACCGAGAACAAGCCGTGCAGTTTTTTTTTCTCACGTGTAAAATTAAATAAAACCACGGTTGTTTAAGGGAAGCGAGAGGAGAAAGGAGAAGACGGGGAGATATTGAACGCTGCAGCCAGCCAACCCAACCGCGCGTTTGCTATGGGGGGCTTGGATGCGGATGGGGCTGCAAGGATTGAGGGTTCAACTTGAAATTAGTCCGTTATTGTTGCCGACGTTGTTGATCAGGCATTACACCTCCTCATCCTAACACTGAACGCAAAATTGAATGTGAACAGAGAGAACGTCATGGTTACCGCATTGTATCCCACTCTCCCCTACATGGCCAGGATGCGATGCTGTGTTATCCTAATTTTATATATTTCTCTGTGGCCATTAATCAATCGAGGCAATGTGCTGGAACAACATTGCCGACGAATGGTATATACTGAACTGATCAATTTATCATAAACATGCTGCTTCCTAATGATATTGTTTAGGTTTTCTGATTAGTTCTACATCGTTGATCTTGACACCCTTGGTGTGTGTTGAGGGGGGGGGGGAGGGTGCGTGTGGGTCTCATGTCTATAGATTTATTTTGGTGGTTTCTTATAAAGACGCGAAAGCTTTTTAATTTTGACAATTGCAGCAATGTGAGCAGAGCCTCCAACCCCTGGCTTGCCAGCGTTGTGAAGTTGCCATGCAGTGAAATTTCAATTTCTCCCCTTTTTTTGTTACTTTAAATTTCGTCTTTCCACCTCCCTCGTGAACCCTGACCATCACTTCTCTTCTACATCTCTCTCGTTTGTCCCTTTTATCTGCCCCCCCCCCCAAAACCCATTTTTGACAACATTCTGCGGTTTTGCAGAACGACTTTAATGGTGTATGTTTTTAAGCAAGGACGCAACATCTTAATAGTAGGGTGGTGCATCGGAATTGTGCGTGGACGCTCCGTGCTGGACAAACGGAAAGCTTCATGTTTACTCTAGGCCCCCCACCAACCTCCCACCCCCACCATGACTTGATGCTGAGTGGGTGAAGCTACCCGTGCATTTATACGCTTGTAACTTAATTTAGCTTTTGTTTAATTTTTATTCGGATGTGTGAGAGCGTGCCGTGAGTGTGTAATGGGTGCGTGGTTTTTTTTGTTTGAGAGGTGGCTTTTTTTTCCCCCAAGTGCAATATTTGTGGTGCATGCTATATAGATGGTTGACTGGCAAGTGTGTAGGGAGAGAGGGGGAAGAGAGAGAGGTGGAGTTTATCGAGGAATGTGCGCGATACATCGTACGTAGGCACTCTCGTCGTGAAGAGATTTCCACCGGAACACGGTTGAGGATTTCGCTTTGGGCGGGGGGAGGGGGGGGGTTCCTTTGCTTCATTTCAAATTTTCATCCAAACCTCCCTGAATGTCGTTCATCTTGAGGTAAAATCCCAGGTAGAATTATTTTTGTAATTTATTTTTTCACCAACGGCAAACTTAGGTCTCCCGCGCGCTACTGATTAGTGGGGTGTTTTTATTTCAATGAGATGCTTTTTTTATGTACCTTTTTTCCCTCCCCCAATTTGGGACGCCCTTTTTATGTACATATCTCGGTGACTTTCAAACCGTAGCCATAAATGGAAATGTATTAAAACACCACGTTTAGCGAGAGATTGGTCTGGCTTTACCGTAAAGACCTCATTTTCCCACTTTTCAAAAATAGAAATAAAAAATACGATGTTGGTACCTGGCGAGGAAAGAGTGCTGGCTCTTGTAACTGCTTTATATTCAAACCTGAATTCCCTCCTCACGCAATTACAATTTTTGATGCACGTCTTTTTGATAAAGGTTTATATGCTCGACTGAAAGTGTTGCCTTCTCTGAAATACCAATTCATTTTTGTCTTTCAACCTTCATCATTGCTCCCAACAGGATTTGGCTTAAATTCTGTCGATGGGTTCAGTCATTCTTTTTTTTGTTCTATTAGTGCTGTAATTCTTGGAAAGGTCTCTTCGAATTTTAAAATACCGTAGAATCTGCTTCATTTTCGGTTGTTATACTTGTTTTTTTTTTTTCAAAGAGCAATTCCTCCCTCCCATTTGCAGTTTTAAAAAAAATGCAAGTTGCGTCCAGGCATGTTTATTCCATCCTCATTTGTTTGCACATTCATTCATGAGCAGTCCTGAAACGATGCACAGTTAACTTTTTTTTTATTTTAACTCGCATTCCCCTCCATGCGATGTGTATGTTACGATGTTATAACAAAAAAGCACATCTTATTTAAGAGCAAAACTACGTTTTTTTTGTAAAATATAAAACGTGTGGAAGCCCTGCGCCCTTTATGTAAAAATGTGACCCGCCCCCCAAGCAAATCAGTACATTGACTTTAGGGGGTGGGGGGGGGGTGTGCGCGCGCGTGTGTGGGTGTGTGTGCATTCAGCTCCTGGTTTTAAATGTCCAAGCGAGGGTTACAAGGAGTGTTTTTTAAACAACCTGTTAGAATTCCTCTTCATTATCAGTCCGAAGCCTTTTTAGATGCTGTGCATTTTTATTTTGGCGAATGGTTTTCCAATCACAACCCCCCCCCCCCCCACTCCTCCACTCCGTTACATTTGTGTTTTCCAATACCGCTTGAACGTGTTTTTTTGTTACTTTTGTGATCTTGAGTTTTATGGTTTCATTTGCTGTACATTTTGTGAAATTTCCCCCCCTCCCCTCATTAAATAAAACTATTGTAATTTTAAAAATGCCTCCCCGCGTTCGTTTGTATGACGCGAGTGATTTGTCTATCGTCTGTGGTGTGTGCGTGACGATGATCAAATGAATGCAGGGCCTATAGGGGGCTTGAAGTCCGAGGCGTCAGTATTTGATGGGCCCCGAAAATAAACTCCTAAAAATATAAATTAACGTATTGGTGGTACGCCAGTGCGTGATCAATGTAAAAAAAAAAACATGCCTTTTTTCGCAATCAATTTCTGATCGCAAACGCCGATCAGGAAATATTTCGGGATGGTGGTGCGTCAAAACCCGTTGTCGTGGTGTCAAAGCCTTCCGAAGATTGATGTTCACGAGCAGCTGACCAAGGACTTCAGTCGCCGTATATAGCGGCACGCAGCCTGATGGCGATTGACTGGCTCCGTGTTCCCAAGGCAAAGATTTGACTCCTCGTGCCCTCGACTTGGTCTTGACGGTTCCTCGATTCAACTGGAACCCAAATCGGCGGTCAATATTGAGCTTTTTTTTTTTTGCAAGTCTCAGGAGACTGAATAAACATTCGAATGGCGTCTAACTTGGCGACGGGGTCAATTAAAGACTGATTAAAAACAGATTTGCGTATTCCAATTTAAATGTACTTTTATGAGACCCGGTGTGTTACTCTGTCCAGATACTCCTTTAGTATGTTCTGAGCCCCCCCCCCCCCCCCCTTCCTACTTACCCCAAACCCCTATCGCAGAGCTCGTGACTGAAATGAAGCCCTTCTGCGTTTGTAACGCGACCCTCCACCGCTTTTGACCAAATCCTTGAAGTAAATTTGGTCGGCCAAGGCGCCGCGTCACCACGCATATCGCTACCAGGTACGGTGCCAAAATTTCAAAGTTTCCTTGGTGCGCGCCTTGATTTGGCTCCTACGATTTGTCACGGCACTTGTTAAAAGGCGGAACTAAAAAAGTGACCGTGGTCAATAACGATGGAACAGTGTTTTTGGTTTTGCATTGGGAATGGATGGTGGGGGGGGCTCCCCAAACCTACAGCAGCAGGCCCTGGATCCACATCAAACTTAATCTGGCCCTGTGTGCGAGAGATGGTGGGAGGGCAGTGGTTGTGTGAGGCGGTGGCTTGCGCGTCGCATTCCAAACAGCCGCGCGACACGGGTTCAAATCCCAGCCACTGATGTCAATGACGGAGTGGCATTGGAAATTGCCCTGGGCCCTCTCTGAGGTCGATTCTGCATCGAATGAGTAGTTGGTGCTGCAAGTAAGTACCGGTGCTGGGGAGACTTAAGGCGGTTGCGCCTGACCCCAGCCGCACCAACCCCCTTGTGAGCCATGATGACCTTACTAGCTGCTTACCAACAGTGCTTTGCCCCAGCAGCAGTGTAAGACGACAGGGGACTCGAATGTGTGTGGTGCTGGCCAGCCACCCACCCCTCACGTGTGCCGTGACGGCCATCATAGGTGCTCGCTAACTACACTTGCCCCAACAGTCTGTTGAAGGCTATACCGGGGGGGTCCTTTACCTTTGGTGTTGCAAAGAAAAGTTGATCGCATCCAAACGGGATTTTATTTTCTGCGTCCACTGAGCGTGCCTTAATGCTTTGGGAGTTATTGATTCCGATAACGTCCATTGCGACCGATCGAGAAAGACCGGCGATTGGCAGCCTAAAGAGGAGGAGAATTCCCAAAATGACTAATGACCCCCATGGGGATGGAGCAATGGAATTGGGTTTGTGCGCAGGAGCGAGGTGGATCGCGGCGTCGCAAGACCGCGAGGGACTGTGCTGGTGATGGGGTGGGCTTTCATCCTGCGGCCGAAAGACCGATGGGCAACCCACATGAGTTAACAGGCCATACGCATTGCCCTGTACACACCGAGACCGGGCCACCACGAGCGGCGCCGCCAGTAGTGTATGATGTAGTGTAGCGTACAATGTAGCGTATAGTGTATATTGTCGTGTGTAGTAAGTGTAGTGTATAGTGTAGCACAGTGATGGGCAACCTTGACTAGTTAGTGGCCCACGTGAGTGGCCCTCCTTCACCTCAGTGGGTCACAGGCTTGACATATCGCTTGTGCACGAATCATGACCCCACACATCGCCCTTGACGCAGAGACCAGGCGACCACGAGGAGCTCCACGGGCCGACAGATCGTGGCTGTTAACGACTCATGATGGGGAGGGGGTGGGGGGCAAAGTAACTTTTTTAAGAAACGAAAGTAAACCTACAACTCCATCCGACTAGTCAGAAAGCCGTGCCAGGCTGCTGCAGGAACTTGCGATCTCCAACATCGTATGTAACCTTCCCGCTCCGCTCGCTCCTCTTGTTCCCGAATAAACTACCTGATGTCGGGGAAATATTGGCAGATGACCATAGCCCTGTCGCGAGGCTCGCCTGGAAGCACACCTGCGGGCGACAGCTTTAAACGAGAGGCGCTTTAACAAGGGTGGGTGTGGCTGTGTGGCTGTGTGGCGTGCAATTTAACTTTTCTGCATTTGTAGCGCCGTTAAAACAGCAGTCGGCCGCATTCGTCCAAAAACCACCCCCCCCCCCCCCCGATGTTCCATTCGCTAAAGTGGCTACGCTTCGGCAAAATTTACGCGCGCCGGAAGCGACCGGTGGCCGTGGCGGAGTTCGCAACCCAATCCCGTTGTCGGTTCTCAAGCTCCGCGAATGTGGACGGTCTGCGAGTCCCGGCAATACAACTTGGGCCAGGTTTCACGCATTGGCAGAGAGCGCGCCGCGGTGGCGAGACGTTAACTACCTCGCCTGGTATACAGGAGGTCGTGGGTTTGATCCACGACCCTGACACGTGGATTTTTGGAGTTTGCGTGTTCTCTGCGTTGTCGCGTGGAATTTTTTTCCCTGGTTCCTCCAGTTTTTTCCCATCGATATTTAGAAATATGCATTGAGAGTTTTTTTTTTCCACATGATAAGCCTATTCCGTTGTCATATCGTTTGCGGCCAGGTCGCTTAGGAAAAAAATAACTATATAGCTGAGTGGCCCTTGCCTGGTAAAAAAAAAACTTTTAGAGTTGATAATATGATGAAGAATGTTTTTGCATTTATATGGGCCTTGCGTGCCTCAGCCATTGCGTCTTTAATAACGTATATGCACGTGTGTGTATATGTTTGCCTTCTTTCGCACCGTATGTATACAACTTTGCTAATCAGAGGTGCGGGGGAAGGACAACAAACGAAACGCAACAAAGCAGTTCTAAATAAATTACTTCAATCTACACCTCAACGGCAGCTGTCCCTGCGTGGCGCACGAGATGACTTCAGCAGCGAGTCTGCAAGTGGACATTAGCCTGCCACGTTATCTGCTTTCCTCCGAATGGAATTGCCCAATTGTACGAAAAGCAGGACCCTCCTGGAACAAAAATGTATTCGAGACACTCGGGAAAGTTTTCCCAGATTGTTTAAAAAAAATCATTATATTACTTGGGTGAGCGGTGGCAAAGTTTTCCCAGATTATGTTTAAAAAAAATCATTATATTACTTGGGTGAGCGGTGGCACGGTGCACATCTTACTTCTTCCACAACACCTAGCGACCCTTTTTCGATGGCCAGGCACGGCTGCCATCAGTGGCGAGTGATATCCGAGCCAGTCCTGGGTCGCATTCTTCACCAACCCATCCCCCATGACCGATGTGGCTTGGGGAGGCCCTCATCCAGCAGGGGATTGACACAGGGCTGTAAATTAAAATAAAGCTGAACATTCCTGAATTTGTTTTTTTTAAGGAGTTGCGTCGCCTTATGATGTGCTCAAGATCTTATTTTTTGTGTAGTCTCTATGCTATCCAAGGAGTTGGGGAGCAGATAAATTAAAAAAACCTGCAATATCATGCAGTCATTTTTCTGGCCTGTGTAACAGTAAAAGCCTGATCTTGGTGATCAATTCCAGCAGTGGCTATGCTGCTGCTGCAGTACGGTACCGGTAGAGCCCAACAATTCCCATTTCCTCTCTTCCCCCAAGGGGGTCGCGGGGTGGTGGTGGAGCGGTGGTTATGGTGGTGGTGGGGGGGGGGGGCGGTTAAAAAATAATCTTTTAGTTGGGGTTGTGGAAGGCCGTCGGAGATGTACCCTAAAATGAGCAAACGGCTGCAAGCAATTACCGCCGCCTCGAACTCACGTGGAGGCCCGACCTCTGTGAAGTGCAGACGTTTATTTGTATTTTCATCGGTGTCGTAAAAACGCGCTTCGCTTTCGCGTCAACCCCGCAAGGAAGCGCCGTCGCCTGGACTGAAACGCGTCCGTTTACCCTGCGCAGGGCTTTTTTTGTTCGATTGCGAGACCCAGGCCCTTTTTCATTTCTTTCCGTCGTATTTTGTGAGCGTTTCTGCTGCTGCCTGTCGCTCGCATCGGCGGTCCTGTATAATGCCGAGGGCGACTTCAACGTGGAAGAAGCCTCGTGTGTCTCAGCTGTGTTGTCCGGTTGCCTAATGCGCACCAGCGCTGATTGAAAGTTAAGTTGTCTTTGACGGGATGATTTATAATGGTCGGGATTGGTCACGGAATGACAACCAAAGTCGGATTTGTATTCGTCTGCTGCTGCCGCTGTTTGTGTTTGTGCGCGCGTGCTCCCAATCGTGTCGCATTAAAGCGGGGGTCACGAATCCCACCCCCCCCCCCCCCCCCCCGTGATACGATTTGTGTTTGATGAGTCGCCGTCTCCTTTTGAAGCCCCGTGCGAGGAAGGCGTTGTCCACGTGGGTCCCTCTTCAGGAAGAAGAACCCTCCGATATTCGCTGGAATCCTTTATGGAAAGTGATTTTTTTTTGTTTGGAAAGTCGTGCTTTATTACAGGCGGCGTTTTCATTCCCTTGTAAACCACACGACGATTTGTAACCATTATTATTCTGACGCTCCATCACCCAGGAAAAGCCTCGTAGAGTCTCAAGACACTTGTTTTCAGGAGAGCCCTATCAAGATTGAAAACTCATTTTACGTCGAACTGCTCTTCATGTTTAGTTTCGTGTCCATCCCCCGCACCACCTAATCGCACGGTTGGCTACGTACGGTGCGAAAGAA